GTCCCTCCGTTGCCACTCCCAGGCTCCCACCCTTCCTCCAATCCCGGTTTGGGGTTGATGAGAATGACGCCCGTCTCGTGCACTTCGGCGCGGCAGTCGGCGAGGACCAGGGTGGTCGAGTCCATCTCGGTGATGATGGCGGGGCCCTCCACAACATGTCCTGCCAAGAGCTTTGCCCGATCGTAGATTGCCGCTTTCTGCAGACGCCCCTCCATGTAGACTTGGTTGTCCCCCGTCCGCGCCGGGGCCGGGGAGGGGTCGCGGGCCCTTGGCAAGGTCAGGGCTTCCACCTGGGCCGGACGACTCTCCGCCACTGCCCGCAGGTTCACAAGCTCGTGGTCTTTGTCGAAGCTGAAGTGGAACTGCTTCCGGTGCTCGGCATCGAAGGCCTTGGCCAGCCACGCCAGTCCTTCCGCCGCGAAAGAGGCGATGTCGACGACCAGGGGCATGGTGAGCCCCTGCCCCTTGTACCGCACGTCCGCCGAGAAGGTTGTTTCCTGTTCCTCACGGGGGATCCCGTCCCTGTCCAAGAGCTCCGCCGCCTGCGTCCCCAGCGCCTCCAAAATTCCCAGAACTTCGCCTCCGTCCGTCTCTGTAAAGCGGCGGACGAAGGAGCGGGAACAGTCGTTCCGCGTGCGGGTGGTTGCGTCCCCGAATGCACACAGCACACCGGGGGAGGGCGGGACCAAGACAGGCCAGGAGCCCATAAGCTTGGCCACGGCGTTGGCGTGCAGTGAGCCGGCTCCCCCAAAGCTGACCAGGGCAAAGTCCCTGGGGTCGTACCCCTGCTCGACCGAGACCAGACGCAAGGCCCCGAACATCTTCTCGTTCACGATGTCGATGATCCCCCGCGCCGCGTCCAGCACGCTCATGTCCAGCTTGGCCGCCACCTCGCCCACGGCTTTCTGGGAAGCAGCAATGTCGAGTTTGAACTCCCCCCCGAGCAGCGCCGAGGGCAGGTAGCCCAGCACGACGTTCGCGTCCGTCACGGTCGGCGCGGTGCCACCGTGGCCGTAGCACGCCGGCCCCGGCATGGCCCCCGCGCTCTCTGGACCCACACGCAAGGCGCTCGTCAGCTGTGGGACATGGGCGATGGAGCCTCCCCCCGCCCCCACCGTGTGCACATCCAGGGCCTGCGCCCGGACCGTCACGTCGCCGACCCTCGTCTCCTTCCGCCGCTTCGGGACCCCCCCCTCGATCAGAGCCACGTCCGCCGACGTGCCTCCCACGTCTAGGGAGAGGAGATTCTTGTACCCCACCTTCTCCGAGATCCAGAGTGCACCAGTCACGCCGCCGGCAGGCCCTGACATGAGCAGATTGACGGGAAATCGACAGGCGTTCTCCTCGGAGGAAAGACCCCCATCGGAGCGGAGAATGGAGAGCTTCGAGCCCGGAATGGCCCGCTGGAGGTTTCCCAAGTAAGTGGCCACATTGGGGCGGATGTAAGAATTCGCCACGGTTGTGAGCGCGCGTTCGTACTCGTACATTTCTGGGAGCACCTCGGAGGAGAGCGAGACGGGGGTGCCGGGCATCTCCTCGGCCAGCACCTTCCGGACGCATTCCTCGTGCGCGGCGTTGACGTAGGCGTTCATCAAGCACACAGTCACAGCTTTCACCTTCTCACGCTTGAGCGTGGCGATCTGACGGCGGAGGTCCCCCTCGTCGAGCGGGCGCACCACCATGCCGTCGGCGTCTATCCGCTCCTTCACCTCCACCGTCGCCTCGAGGGGCGCCAAGAGCGGGCCCTTGTTCCAAACGATGAAAGCCGCCAGGCCCCCAGGAACAAAGGACCTGTCAATGTGCAATATTTGCCGGTACCCCTCCGTCGTGATCAAACCCACTTTGACGCCTTTTCCCTCGAGGACGGCGTTCGTCGCCACAGTGGTCCCGTGCAAGACGTGCTGCACCTGGGACATGCTGACGCCGGCCAGCTTGCAGATTTTCTGTGCAGCGTGTTTGTAAAGTGTCGATGTAGTTGGTGCCTACGCAGTCCATCCCAGTCTCTAGATCGAGACGGAACATTACCTTGATGCCGTTCAGGACGCCCTCACTCGGGTCATGGGGGGTAGAGGGCACTTTGGCTTTGGCCGCGATAGCCGACGTACGAACGTTGATGAGCAAGAGGTCTGTAAATGAACCTCCAACATCGATCCTGTTTCCGACAAATTTTGATGTCGGTGATCATCATGATGGTACATTAATTAAGACAGCACAACTCCCCCAACGGCGGCACTAATAGAGTTCCTCCTGCTCACTTACCCAAGGCGGTAATTATCATCAGGCCGGTTATCAGCCATGGTATACGGAGTCGGAACCAAAATAATAAGAGGCCAAGTCGCTAGCTCTGTGTCTGTGCGCGTGGCAGGAGGAAAATGGTCAGGTTGTCATGCCAGGGGGATCCAGGCACGTATTCCCGCGACTCCCTCATCACAGATATTGCATGTATCCCCAAGGAAATGGTTCAACACCTGATCCACTCATCAGCACTGGCCATTGATCGAAATCAATAATTCTCGAAGACCGACCCGGATGGACAATGATCATGGAATGGCACTGCGCGGAAAAGCGTGTCAAAGAAGAGCACGTTTTTCTTCGGCGGCGTCGCTCTTGGTTGAAGAACAACGACGCATGGGGGAGGTTGCATGAGCTGCTCCTAAAACGTAATAGGATATTGCGGGCCAGTGTATGAAGCGACTTCGCAACATCAGTATCTGGAAAAATGGCATATTTTTATTTGGTCCCTTTACTTGTGCCTTCCTAGTCGAGTCCTTGTTTGGAAAATTGAATTTTCTTCTACCAAACGCTTGGAAAACCGGCACACAGAAAACACCTTTCAGCTGGTTATTTTCCTTACATGTAGTAAGCAATTGACTTTAATCTTCCTCTGGTTCTGGAAAGCCAAGTTCAGCCTCATCCCCCACCAGCTGGGCGGCATCCTGTGCCTGCTGTTTCTCAGCAAATCTTTTGCCCAGGAAAGAATTCACCAGCTCGAAGGAGAGGAACATGATGGCGGTATTTGGCACCACGCGGGCGACGTGTGTGCCCATCCCAGCGTATAACCCTCGGCGGCCCTCTTCCTTTGCAATCAATCGCAACGATTGCCACATGCTTCGGTACTTGAAGGCCCCGTTTCGCGCCTGCTCCCGAAGGCGCGTGCGGACTACTTCATGTGGATAAGTCGCAGTCGTCGCCACAAATTTGGAGAAGGCCGCCGCTGCCAAGGTAAATGTCGGAGGAAGGTCTTCTTTTGCCTCCAAGCCTTCAGCACGCCGTTTGTCATTGTTTCGGACCAGCAATTGTTTTTTCAATTTCTCGTACACAACAAATTGAATGCAGCCCTCCGAGCACCCCCAGTACGAGGCGCTCAGACCCTTCCAAAAGCCTTTCAAGCCTTCTTCGCGATAGATGCGAGTGATGGCATTGCGATAGCTCGTGTACGCCATCTGGCCCACCGCCCCGTCGGCCATAAGCTGCATTCTCGTCTTGACCATCCAGATCGGATTAGTGATCGTATTCCCTGTCACTCCCTGCACGGATGTCGCGTGAAGGAGACGAGTTTCCCCATTGAAGTCAATCAATACATATGCCCGCATTGCTTCAAGGAAGGCCGCTTCCAAAAAGCTCACACTCCGATACCGTCAGCACGACTTGTTCATCCGCCCATTGAAAAATTAGCACGTTCCACCCTTCCTCCTGTCCTTCTACCCCCCTTCACGCACCGCAGCTATACCCGACAGGATGTGCGTGAGAGTGTTGTCCCCCAGGGATGGCATGAGCGCCTGCTTGGACGTGGAGTAGGCCCAGAAGTAGGTGGCTCGTGCCGGGATGATGCCGACCAGGGTCGGTGGCAAGCCCCGAAAGAAGCCCTTAAAGCCTGGTACAGTGGTTCAGGATATCCCGGTCAACTGAGCGCGAGAACTTCTAAGAAAAGAGATAGAATGCCACAGAGCACACAGTATCCCCGCACGCACCGTCCGCTGCCAGGATCTCGCGGGCGACACGGAACGGGTTTGAGCCACCCCCGACGCGGGACGACTGTAGCTGTGTCTTCACCACCTCTATGGGACACGTTATACTGGAGGCCACGGCTCCTGCAAAGCCTGAAGGTTTAAAAATGTTGAATCGGGTATATCTTCATAGGCAGGAGGAAGCAATTTGTGGCGAGCAACCCTGAGAGGTTATCGTGTAACTTACCGCCTGCAAACAAACTGTACAGCTGCTTTTGTCTTGCCAGAGCTTGTTCATTTTGGCTGGAATGCCAAAGTCGCATTTGATGTGCATCAACTTGTGAGTGAATGCCGTTGAAGAGGTTTCCTCCTCAGATGTCGAAACAGCTTACCTCGGGTTGGGGGGGCTGGCTGCATCGCCCGACTTAGGGATAGCTTTGGCCTTGGAGACAGAACCCAACACGTGTCTGCCACCAACATCTCCAGCGTCCGCCATGGTGGCTGTGTTGCTCCACAGCATCACGGCAATCATCAATATATTGATGGCAAACGGGCGTAAACAGTGAAGGCAATTAAAGCGGGGACTCTTTCTTTGAACGGCCTCAAGTGAATGTCCCATTGGCCGCGGTCACACGTTGCGGATGTCCACGAAATTAAAAACCTGAACTCGTTCCAACAACGTCCGTAGTTACATGGGGGAAGTGAGAGGTCGTTACAAGAATAAAAATCATTCGACTGGGTATCAAGCACGGAGGAGGTTTACTAGCACGCGGCTACTACGCGCATGATGAGGGGACATGTGCATGAAAGGAGCTGGGCCATTTAACACTGATGCAAAGAGTGTGGTGCTACGGGCGCACAGGGGCGCAAACTTGGCGTTGATTGCACCTCAGAGGCCATTACTCGCTGGCAGACTCGAGGCCGTCGCCAAGGAACAAGAATCTCACGCACGCGTTTTGGAGCTTTCAAAAATCTGACGCTTTCCATTTTACCCGCAGCCTGAAGATCAGACGTAGCGGCTGTGTTCAATCTGGGACAGGTGTGGCGTCCTAAGGGAGGAAACGTTGGAGGACGTTGATCCGCGGCTGGCAAAGTCGCGATGCTGCTGGGCAGCGGCGGGCGCAGGCAGGGTGAAGGCAGGCGGCCAGTGCTAGTGGTGGGGACAATTGTCACGGACGAAGCGGAACGAATATGCCACAAAAATGGTCTCCTCTTCCATGAACTGCTGAGCGCATTTTCCGTGGCTGACAGCGCTGTTCCCTTTAGGTCCGTGTCACACACAGTGCAGCTGCATGACTTCCGGGTGAGTTTCGTTCAGGCCAGCGAGATGGCCGCTCGCCCGCAAGCCCTGGCCGAGGCTCGTCTTGCTGAGGCCCTTACTCTTCGGGAAGGGACACCAGAGGCTGAGAGTGCGTGGCTCTCTTTCGAGGAGGAGGAGGGTGGGGCTGTTGTAAATGTACGGGAGCGTGACGACATAGGCGACGCCTTAGCTGTACACGATGATCGCATGCCATGGTACCGGCGTTTTCGGGCATCTTTGCGACAATCCCTCCACTACGTCGAGCCTGAAATGCTGAGGTGCCCAGCTGCCCTGCTGGTTGTCGTGTCGTCCTCGGACCAGACTCCAATAGACCGGTTTAAGGAGCTTTCCTTGCCTTGCCACCTGCCAGCCGCCTTTCAAACGGGTCAATTCGGGAGTCAAGACGTGCCGATTGTCTATTTGCTGCTTCACGATGAGTGGGAAGGAAACGAGAGAGGGAACGGCCTTGTCTGTGCCGCAGAATTGCTTAGGCAAATGAAAGGCGAGCTTCCCACCGCCCCCTCCAAGCTCCTCCGCCTGAACTCGCTCCCGCCCCACTCCCTCAACCTGAACCAGGCCGCCATCTGGCGCCTGCCCTCGGAGGTCGACGAGCCCTCGGCCGACAGCTTCTTCCTCAACGACCCCAATGACCCGCGGCAGCGCCACCCCGTGCTGGGCGGGGACGGGGCCCGCGGCTCCTGCCTGAGCAGCGAGGACCTGCTCAACCTGAGGGAGCTGGCCCTCGAGCTGACCGAGAAGATCGTCATCCCCGCCGTGGAGCGCCGTGTCTTCACCCTGCAGACCACTGTCACGCAGTCTCGCAAGGGCGTCAAGAACTTTGTCCGCTCCCTCTGGCGCAAACCGCGAGAGGCGGTCGCCAGCACCAACGAGCAGCAGCCGCAGGACGGCGCGACCAGTCGCTCGGGCCCTTCCTCTGCCGCGAGCCTGGTAGCCTCCTGCTCCCCCGCGCTTTATCGCTTTGACCGGATCGAATCTCAGATTCGCCTCTTGGCCGACAGCCTGTTTGTGATGCAGGACTACGAGGCGGCCCTGGGCCATTACAAGCTCGTCCGCGACGACTTCAAAGCCGACAAGGCCTGGATGCACCTGGGTTCAGTCTATGAAATGATCGCCGTTTGCTACCACCACCTCAGTCACAGCACAGTTGGGAATGAGGGCTCGCACTCTGCGGGTGGCCCGTCCTCTCATTCGGGGGGGGGATGGACGCTACCGCAGGGAGATGGAGGGGGCGATCGAAGACGCTCTCAAGGCGTACTTCCGGCAGGTGGAGGAGGAGGAGCATGCCTCCGACCATCTCGCCGGGCCCGGAAACGGGCCAAAGGATCCAGGCAGTAGGGCCGGCAGTCTTGCGGCGCGCATGGCCACCGCGCCAGTTTGTTGGGAACGGAGTACTTGCTAGCGGCTAGCCCGCCCAAAGCCGTAGACGCTGCTACGCTGCTGGTGAACGCCGCGCGAAAGGAGACCCCTTTGTGTGCCGCCGTCCTGCTCGAGCAAGCAGCCTGGGCATTTCTTCACGCGGGAACATGCGCAAGTTCGCCTTCTACATGAACATGGCGGGACGGGCCTTCTTGGCGTGTGAGGCCCCCTACCCACCCCTCAAACGTCAAGCGATCCGCTGCTACGCGAGCACCTTGGGTTTGTACCAAGACAGCAGTTGGCGGTATATCCTTGAAGACATTCATTCTACTCTAGGCCGAGAACTGCTCAAGCTAGGGCAGCCAGAAAGGGGGCTCTATCACTTGCTGCGCTTGCTGATGCGTGGGGGCGCCTTCTCATCACAGCTTCCTGGGAGGAGCGGGCTTTCCCCTCAGGAGCAAAAGGGCTTGGTCCGGGAGTTGCTGCAGGCCTGTCGAATTCGGCCCCGGGTAGTGGCGTGGGTTATCCCTCGCTTGGAATGCGGCCTAAAAACGTTTGTAGCAGCCTTGCACAGAGCGGGGCCACGAGAGCAACCGCCAGACGAAGCACACAGTCACGAGGAGCAGGCCTTGTCCTCCGTGATGGTGGCCGGTCTGCAAGTGCCGCTGGTCTTGGAGGAGACTTTGCGTGTGGTTCAGGGCAACGAGGAGCCCCTGGGGAGAGAAGTGGAGGAGATGAAAAGAGAGCTCGAGCGGGAACTAAAAACAGCGGCTGTGATGGGAGAGAAGGGGGGAAGCATGCGGGAGTGGGTGCGAGCGCTTGGAAGAGTGGCGAAAGAAGAGGCGCGAGCGGCCGCTTTTTTGGCAGGTGGTCATCGCGATGATGCATCGCGTGCAGGGAGAGGGATTTGTTGGCGGGGCCGAGACGAGCCCATTACAGTCAGCGTGGACGTGGCAAACCCCCTAGACTTCCCCATCACGTTGACCGACATGCAGATAACTGCATCTTTCGAAGACGAAGCGCCACCATTCCAGCCTCCTCGGCCGCCATCTTTCACGGCATCCGCAGCCCCCGGGATCCAGCCTCTAAGCGTAGAGGCTGTGTCAGTAGCACTCGCTCCCTCCGAGCGCAAATGCCTGCACCTACGCATCCACCCGCGACGCTGTGGGATCCTGCGTGTGACAGGCCTTCGCTGGCGATTGTTGGGGGAGTTGTGGGGAAGCTTGGTGTTTCAGAGCCCCGGGCCCCTCTTACAGGGCACCCTGCAGCAGCGTGCGAGCCGAGCGCGGGGGCCGGACGTCCGACTAGTCTCTCGAGTGGTGCCGGAGCTGCCTTTGCTGGAGGTGGAGTGGGAAGGCTTGCCCGAGACCGTTTTCCAAGGAGAGATGGTGCAGGCCGCCTTGAGAATCACGAACCGGGGACTCGCGCCGGCCGCGCATGTCTACGCGAAGAGCAACCTGCCCTCCTGGGTCTTCATGCAGGACCCGGCGATGGTTTCGACGGTGGGGGGCAGGGCGGGGCCCACGATGGGTGCAGGTGTGTGCATGAGCATGGTAGGAGTGAGTGGTACCGTCTTCCGGGTCGTGACAGGCGCGTTGCCCGCGGGGGGGGGTTGTGTCAGGATCCCTGTATGGGTGAGGGGGCTGGGGGGGGGGAAACAAAGGCTTAGGATCCTCGTCCGTTACGAGCGTCAGCGAATTGAAGGAGTACAAATGACCGCCGAAGATGGCAAGAACGGCGGGCTAGGCGGAATGCTGGGCGAGAACTACCGATTCGCAGAGGTCTCAAAGGAATTGTGCGTCCTCCCATCCATTGCTGTGACTCCCTCGGTGTCACCCTCGTACTCCCGACCCGGCGAATGCGTCCTGTCCCTCAACGTGTCAAACTACCGCACGGACGGGCGGGCGGTTGATCGACAGGTGGAGCTTCATTCGGTCATGGCTCTTAGCCGACTTTGGACACTCAAACCCCTGGAGGGCTTTTCTGCCCTCCCTGAGGATAGTAAAGGAGCTGCTGGAAACCTCGTCGTTGACTGGCAAGAGCGCACTACGCTGCACTATCGGCTCGCACCTGTGGAAAAAGAAGGGGAACCTATGGTATTCGAGCACAATCTGCACACCGGAGCCTTGCAGGTATCTTCGCCCCCGTCGCCCAACCCTCCATCCCTGCCTCCGCCTCAGGCTCCCGGCTTGGCCGGCTCGTCCTGGACGTCCCTGGACTTCCTGTACGTGGAAAATGCCAGCCAGTCCTACCGCACCGCCCGCGAGGAGGCAAGACGTCGGGAGGCCGCCTCTGCGTCCTCTGTCTCGTCCTCCACGGCCTCCGAGGAGACGGGCGGGCGTCGTGAGCGTCTCCCTCTCAGCCTCGGAGAGATCAAACGCAAAGAAGCGGAAAAGAGGGCTCGCGAAGCCGCCGTCCTTGCCGATAGGAGAGCGGCTGACAGCTCTACGGCGGGTTCCACCCCCTCTACCCCCGCCCCGGACCCGTCCTCCCCCACCGCTCGCTCCAGATCGCCCATGCTCGGCATGGGCATGGAGGGCTCCGGCCACGGAGGGCACCTGGCCGCCCTGGTCCCCCGCGGACGTGCAACAATCAACTTCCTCCTGACCTGGCGCCTGGCAACGACTGTCTACACGCCTCAAAGTCCCGCAGCCCAGGCGGAGGCGGCCAGCTCGCGGACTATGGACTCCGGCGACATCCTCCCGTGCCAGCGTGTGTGCCGGGGTCAGCATCAGATCCTAAACCACGCCGTTCGCCCCCTGACCCTCGACCCTACCACCGCCGCTCCCCTGACCATCACTGTGGACGCCCCCTCCCAAGTCTGGGGGTGCCTGGGGCCCGAAGGGCTCCTCCATAAATGCCAGGTGGACGTGCTAGTGACAGTCCATAATCGCATGACCGACATGCCGGTTGACTTCGTCTTCGAAGCCTTGGGGGCACCTTCCGGGAAACGGCAGAGTGCCAACAAGGCGGCAGCGTCCCCCTCTTTCCTGTGGGTGGGGAATACTAGTCGGGGCATCAAGCGTATGGCGCCAGGGGCGAGCGTTCAGCTCCCACTTCGCGCCATATTTCTGCGTCCCGGCGTGTACGACCTGAACCGCTTCCGCTTCGTAGCGCACATGCCAGCCTCTTCTCCCCAGATCGTCGCGGGGGTGGTTGGTTCCCGCCTGAAGCTCCTGCATGGCAACACAGTGCGCGTTCCCTACATTTTCTCCGCCCAGTATCTGATAAAGGTCTCGGCTGCCCCGCCTCCTCCCTCCGATGTCCCAGCTCCCCTAACCGCGGCCGGTGCCCCCACGGCCAGCCAGAGCTCGAGGGTAAATACAGGCTTCCTGGTGCGTGGAGGCGAACGAGAATACGAGGGAGAGCGACCAGGAATACGGGGGGAGGATGGTGGATTGGGCCGAGACGTTTCGTCGATCCTCCATTCGCGGTCAGGCATCGCCTCCGTGGGCGGTGACGACGACCCGAAGCGACCGGAGGCTCTGGTCACGCTGGTGGAGCAGGCCCGGGGAGGAAGGAAGGTCGGGAGGGAGGGAGAAGAGCAACGAGAGCTGGTAGCCGATGCGGCACCGCCTCCATTGCTCCCAGGCCCGGGGGCCGAAGAGGCCATGGAGGACGTGGACAGCTTGAACACGCCCTTGGACCGCTCTCTGGCGGGCGGGCGGGAGGAGGGGGAGGCGGTGGAGCGGGAGACAAGGGGGGGGACGTCGAACGCCGGGTTCTCTCCGTCGGTTCCTGTCCGCCTGGTAGCGAGTCCTTCCTGGGAAGGGACCGGGCCAGGGGGGCTGGGGGAGGGGGCGGAAGCGGGAGAGGAGGGGGAGGTGGAGGTGGCCGAAGATCAAACGTTCAGTGCGGAGGGGCAGGAGCGAGCGCGTCAGAAACTAGAGCTTGAGGAAGCCGGGGAGGTGGGAGAGGAGGAGGTCAAAGAAGGGGGTGGGGATGGGTTGGAGGCGGCAGCGGGCGGACCTTAGGAAGGAGGAAAGAGAGGTGACGCACACGGCTACGGGAACATCCCAAGGAGCGTCGGTGGACACACAATAAGTAAGAGCAAAGCATAACAAAAAGCAAATGAATAGTGCTACGCCTGGACTTGAAATCCTTCGCAAGGGATTTTTCGATTTATACAGTATTTACGGCGGAACCAACCCTCGATGACTCTTCAAAAATGGTGACAGATGCCACAGCACCTAAACCTTGAAATCTCACCCCACGTCGTCCCGTCTCCGCATAAAATGCAAGCAGGACTGCCGGAGAAAGTGAAGCGACTCCCTGCCCCTCTCCGTCCTCATTCACTTTTCAGCCCGTGCGGGACCTGGTAGGCCTTCAACGCTTTCACAGAGATGCGCTCCTCCCCCGGCAAAATGGCCAGGGTCAACTCCCTACCGTAGCAACAGCCTGTGTCCAGTCCGGTCGCCTTCCGGAACACCTGCAGGCCCCTCTTGGCGTCGTGCCCGAACAATAAATGCCGCGCGTCCGTCGAGCCCTCCCCCCCCTCGCACTCCTTCCCTTCCTGTGACCACACCTTCGCCCAGGGCTCCGCCTCGCCGTTCTCTGGGATGTACTCCACCCCCACCCAGGTCCCCTCCCCCCCCTCTCCCGCACGCTTCACACTCCGCATGCGACTCATGTCGGCCGCCTGCTGCATTTGTAGCGGTCGCCCTGGCAGCAAGCCCGCGTGCACCACGACCACGCCTAGGTGCTCGATGGAGAGCGTGTAAGGCAAGCTGTCCAGCCATGCTACGTCGGCTTCGTCCAGCGCCGCCACAAAGTCGTAGGCTTGAGGCAGAGACGAAACACCCGCGAACTTGCCGACGCGGAAATACGCAGCCAGGGCGCTGTCGTCGTGATTGCCCCGCACGCTGTAGAAGCCTTGTGTGCGGCACCACTTGACCGTCTCGGCGGACAGAGGCCCTTTATTGACGAGGTCCCCCACCAGGACCACAGAATCCCTGGCGGCCGTGTAGTTCGCCTTGACCAACAAGGCTTGCAGCTCTTCCAGACACCCGTGAACGTCGCCAACCACCAGTACGCGCTCCTTGGCCTCGGCACGGGTGAGGATGCGGTGGACGCAAGCGGGCATTCGTGTCCCGGCCGGCGTCAAGGTCTCATTTGCGAAGGAGGGGAGGCTACGGGGGACTGTCGATACACTTGACGCAGAGAAAAGTGAGGACGAGAAAGACGATATAGGAAGGCCTAAGCGCTTTAAAAGGATAGGTGCCGCTTGAAAGGCAGCGGCAGGGCGGTTATTGGCGTACTGTGAAAAAGAAGGAAAGGGGAAGGAGACTCAGCACATGATTTAGGACAACCTGGGTCTTATCGCTCTCAGGCTGGAACACGGTAGGAATGTTTAAGAAAAAGAGATCAAGTCGCGTGATTGAGGACGACTCCGTCTCGCGTAAATTCGAGGAAGAGGGGCAGAGTGGAAGCAGTGTGGGCTTTGGCGGGTGACTCATGAGGGACGTAAAACGAGGGCACAAGCCATGACAAGAGCTACTCGCAAGGGAACGCACGCCGGCTCTGGTTATGTATTTTCAGTCATGGGCCCCTAAAAATCGAAGACTTACGCGCAGGAGGCTCAATAGCATCAGACTCATAACCATGGTGTATGTGAGGAGGAAGGGATTCAGTAGCGGGGCTATTCCTTCGCTTACGGCCGTGCTCGTGTCCATGCAGGTCCGACAGCCCTGGGCTCGAACTGCTGCCGCACGCTATGACCGTCTTTGTTTATCCTTTTGTATACCTAGGCCAGCTGTGTAGGATAAAAGCGTGAAAATGAGAAGACGGGCGGCACTGTAATTGCCAATAAACCTCGAAGCCCAGCATCCGAAAAAGTCGCCCAGCGAGAAGACAGGGAGAATTCGCCCCAGCCTGTTCGCGGTACCTCGACTCCCCCGTGGGAAGCCTTAAAAATTAAATCCAGCGACATCACGCCGAGCTATGTTTTCCTGCTGGCCTCTACAGTTTGAAAAATCGCTGTAGCTCATTCATATCCAAGATCTCATTCATTATTCGCTTTATTTAAAGTGTATTACTCTCCGCAACATGCCGCATTTTCCAAGATGTTTATTTGAGATGGGCCACGCAGGAAACTGTGGAAATGTGAAGGTCCAACGTGGCACCACCAATTGCTGCAGTGTACCTTAATTTATACGACATCACGGCGTGCAGTTGATGGTCCAAGGATTCTAGCCACGTCCGCTGCGGCAAACAAACCGAGGGTACTCTATTTAGAGCTCTTTGACGTCACCAGCGACTAGGGTGTAGATAGCTCATAATTTTGGTCAGTTAAAGAACAAAAAAAAACGCCATCTCCATTTGGCAAATTTTTTCTTTCTAGTATTTAATATATTGGGCTCTCCCGTATCAACCCTCTCGCTGGCGGCCAAAATTTCTCATCTTCTCTATACACATATTCCCTTAGTATCCCCTCTTGCGCCAGCCGTCATCGTTCCATATTCAGGCCTCGCTCCAAACCACGTCCGCACACCCTGCAACCGCCTCACCGGAGAGTGAGAGGGAAGCCCTCTATTAATCTCCGCTTCCTGAACCCGGTCCAACCGGCCCTTCTTCTCCTTCACCGGCTGTGGCCACCCCGTCGCCAACTCTCACAGGAGAGTCCATACCTGCGCCACTGGTCGACTCGCACAAATCACTGGGCCCGGGTACGCCTGCGGAATACTCGTGGATCCCCGGAGCCTCGTCACCCTCCTCGCACCCATATGTCTTCAAAGAGGCCTTCGAGGAGCCTCCTCCTCTCTTCGCTGGGGAGGCCCCCCTCGACGGAGCCTTTCCTCTGAAACTTGACGAGGCGCTTGGGGTGGACGAGTTCGGCCGCCGTGTGCCCACCAAGAAGGGGGAATCGGGGGGCGGAGAAGAAAGCAAGCTTCCGCCCGCCCCACCCGCCACCATCAAGGTCTCCTGCCTGGTCGACGGATTGGACGCTGGGACCGAGGAGGCGCCCGTGGGGATAGGAGTCTTTGCGGCGGGGGCGGCGGGCTTGAGACTGAAGGCCCTCTCCGCCAGACTGGCCAAATCGCGTCGGCGTAAACGGATCATGCGCGTGAAGCGTCCGACGCGCAGGACGCAGACAGCGAGCGCGGCCCCGATGAAGGTCAGGAGGTTTAGTCCCGCCCCGCTCGAGACGCCCAGGGCCGCCGAGACCCAGATGGCGGTGGCCGTGGTCAAACCGTTCACTTGCTGGATGCGCCGCCCGCCCGACCTGGAGGAGTCCTCGAAGCCATTCTGCGAGATGACGCCGGCCCCGATGAAACCCACGCCCGAGGCCACCGAGGCCGCCATGCGCGATTTGTCTCCCGGGATGCCCAGGCTGATGATGGTGAAGATTGCGGCGCCCAGGGAGACTAGAGCCATCGTGCGTAGTCCCGCCGGACGCTCCGAATACCGACGTTCAAAGCCAATGGAGGCACCTGCGAACGTTGCCATGAGCAGGCGGGTGATTATCTCGAACTCTGTTATTCCCAGGCTACTTAATGCACTGCTGTGCATCTTCACGGCCCCTCGGCAGTGCCGCGGATAAAACAAGGCAGAGCGGCTCCGGACCATGCCCACATTCGTACGTGATCTTGCTGCGCACACCATCGATGGCACCAGCGACCTTCGCGAGGGTGGGAAAGAATTTTTTGGGTGTGCCACTAGCGCTGAAACCGTGACCCGTGTAGGAGACAGGTGAAAGGCAACTGACAACACTGCGTAAGATAGCAACATCCCTGCAGCAAGCCATACCCGGCTACCCTGTAGCCGACAAGCTCGTTGAGAATGTGCATGGTTGCTGCGCCGTGCCTCTCCCATCCCTGCGTATGGTGAAAACACGCTCGGAGGAGCGCTACGCGAGGAGTGACTCAACTTCCTATGCCGCCACCTTCCTCTTTGTGATTCTTCCACTTCCCACGCCGCGAATAAATGCACAATTGTGCCCTGTTCCCAAGAACAGAGAGAGCAAACAGGAAAGCATGGTCAACACAGTCGGCGTCGAGAACATTGGGCGCATCCATGCTGTCACACGGGGGAGGGCGGAGGGAGGCCGGGGCCCTCCTCTCGGGCGGCTCGGATCCAAGAGAGAGAGAGGTTACGCCCGACCGGCCCATGGCCCCCGCTAAAAAAAAAAGCTATCAAGGGGGCTGAAAGACACGGCTTGTCTCGATGATAGCATTGCTGGACGAAGAATACCAAAATAGCTCTTGTCTTGTATGGTAAGGGCGAGCTCATACAGTACATTCTCCTTGCTTTTTCCAATGCCATTACGTAACCTGTACACGACAGACCAACACAGGATCAAGAATCAAAATAATCGAGCAGAAATAAACCCGCAATCATTTCGAGACCACGAAAAGAGAACAAGAAAATGCATTTCTTACCGGCGCATATGCGCGTCCCTTTGGCTGTCGCGAGTTACTCAGTATGCTCTGGAACCATGCTTCTCTTCAACAAACTGGCAATGCACTACGGTAAGTCAGCGTGTGGCGACTTTGAATTCGTGAACGAGATAAAGTGGAACGCCCAGATCAAGGCGTTTGTCAGCTTGAACTCATGAAATGAGACGCGGAATGAATCTTGTGGCGGCTGGTAATCATAGAAGAAGCCACTAGGTTGCCCCCCAATGCTTGAATGCGCGACCCATTGCTCCTCCGGATCAAACACCTTACATGCTTATGTAAATGGAGAATCACTTGAGAAGTTTGATGCGACCTCGTAACTAATCCTTCAGGATCTTCCCTCCACAGTCCCCGTTCCAAGCCTAGTGACAGTGATTCAGCTCCTTTCCGCGGTGGTTATCATCCTCTCGCTCCAATGGGTCCGTGTCATTCCTCCCGACCCTCTTGAGTCCAGTAAAGTGAAACCATACCTACTGTACACTATAGCTTTCGTTCTCGGTGTGTACTGCAATATGCGCGCCCTGGCCCATTCCAACGTCGAGACCGTCATCATTTTTCGGTCATGCACGCCTTTGGCCGTGGCTCTTTGCGATTACGTTTTTCTTGGCCGAGAGCTGCCCTCCCAACGCTCTTGTCTCGCGCTCTTGACGATTGCATTGGGCGCATATGGCTATGTCCAGACTGATTCGCAGTTTAAGATGGATGGCCTTGCAGCCTACACGTGGGCGATCCTCTATTTTGTGACGATTTGCTTCGAGATGACGTACGGGAAAAAGATCACAAGTGGCATAAGGTTCAACAGCATGTGGGGTCCCACATTTTATACGAACTTTTTATCCGTCACTCCCATGTTCCTGTTGGGCTATCTGATGGGCGACTTCAAAGACTTCTCCGCCGCGGAAGGGACGAGGGGCTCAGAGAGCGCCGAGCTATGGAAGTGGACAACGGCGGGCGTAGTCATGCTGGTGGTGTCCTCCTTGATGGGCACATTGATCGGCTACACCAGCTGGAGCTGCCGGTCGCTCGTCTCGGCCACCACCTTCACGCTGGTCGGGGTGATCAACAAGTTCATCACCATCCTCCTGAACGTCTTCATTTGGGACAAGCACGCCTCGCCTTTAGGGATCATGGCCTTGGTCCTCTGCTTGATCGGGGGCTCTTTCTATAAGCAGGCGCCTATGAGGCCCACCGACCGGTCGCTGAATTCCATCGAATTTTTTGCGATGGGGACGGAGCTCGAAAAAGACGAGTTGGCTGAGGTTGAGCGAGAAGCGAATGCAAAGATCACTGAATTGGATACTGTTCCTCTCATCGTATCCACGGAGGGGAAAAAACTGGCCTTTTTCGGGCATCAAGCAGATGATCGGCAGGCGCCCGCCGGGGCTGTCTAGCCAAAGAAAGAGACTTCTGAGTGTAGTGGGTGATAACAATGGAATATGACTCTTGCCGTACAAGATGGCTTGATGCAAGTTATCATCATGGCCACAAAACCGTCAGGAAGTGGGACAGGGTTTGCAATATCAGCACAAAGGTTAGGACCCCGAATTTCGACAATCTTTGATAGCTTGACTGAATGTGTGGCAATCAAACTCTTATGAATGGTATTGAAGAAATAATACCAAAAATTATGCCACTCGTTGAGGACGTCTCATGAGTACTGTGTTTCGCGGTGTATTTTTCTGTAATTGCCAACCGTGGGCATGTCTATTTACAAGCCTCTCACGCATTTTGAAAATGTACGTTACATTTGCTCAGTTGTTTCTCCTCTTTCACTTTCATGCTGGCACGAGCCGTTGACGCTCCGCAGCTATAGGAACGCCGGTCCATACAAACTGTGCAATGTATTAAAGTGTAGTCCGCGGGGGTAGGTGCGCAATATCACAATAATTAGAGAACCTTACTTTCATTTTTCAAAGTTTTCGTTCTTGAGAAATGTCGCAGTAAGAACACAGATGGCGCGGATGCCGCTAATTCGTTCTTTCCCTCCCATTGCCGCAAGAACTTACCCCCATCCCATGCTTGTAGACAAGGTCTTGGCCAAGCCATCCAGAAATTGCGAGGAGGACGACGCTAACAAGGCTAAAAATCCAGCCATTTCTCCAGTAATGATTCCCTTTCGCGCGACCACGGTAGCTATCGTTTTTTGCATCGACATAATTAAATTGGGGGTCGGTCCAAACCGGAACAAGCAATGTTTCCTAAATGTGTGCGTACCTAAGATTTATTACTTGTAACATGACAACTCCAGCATTAAGAAGCATGTGGGCGGTGGCAGTCTGCTTTACTTCCTCGCCTCTGGATGTCAGGCCAAAAAATTGCGAAAATGCGTGAGCGGATTAAATATACCACTTGTCTAACGCGCATACACGTTCACCTGCACTCTACAGACGTTCAGCTCGGAAACCAATTAAATAACGTACATGATAATGGAATATTCAACCAAGCCTGTTATAGCTGCTGCTACGGCTGCGGCAACGCCGCCGACGAGCAGAATATACGCAAATTGGGACCAATCCGAGCCCGCCCAACCAGCCTCGTATACGACGTCGGCGATGAGAGTCATAATAAAAAGGACAATGGGGAAGGCTACTAACATAGGGTGGATGGGGTGGCCCCAGATATTGGCTTTCGATGGCATTTTTACCCTGTTCTTGTAATGCCACACAAAATAGGACGATGAACTTGAAGTGGGCACTTAAAAGGTGGTGAGAGAAGCTATCAAAGCCAAAGAAAAATCCATAGAGGAAACAGGTTTTCACTAACCCTCATCAAGATATGAAAGCTTTCTCAAATGAAGGCCTCTTCCATTGTTGCTGCTGGTCATGTGCTTACCTATGCGTGTCATGACCCCACCGGAAGCAGAACATTGCACGTTCCGAGACCGTGTTCCGAAGCTACACCAGGATTCTTCTTGAAAATTTCGAGTACTAATGGCCTGAAAACTGCCCAAGGATCTATGTCAAAATCCGACAAGATCCATTCAGTACACTTAAGCCGGCCGAGAGCTTGTCCTGCGTGTCCGTGACGCGGCGTCTGCTTGACCATCGGCGCGGAGGCCCCGGGAGTGTGCAGGGAGGGCACGCATGCCTGTGATCGCGGGGCAAGCGCCCTCCCACGCTGATTCGAAGGTCACAGGCTTCGAGCTGTCTCGGGATATTGAGCAAAACATGGACCGAGGGGGGGAAAGCATAGCGCGGATTCTCTGTGTGACAGTGGTGGTGTCTTGATTGCCACATAAGATCCACCAATAGTCTTCGTTACATGGCTCTTTTTGCCATCGTCCGGGCGGCCTCGCTCTTCAGCAAAAATTGTCGGCAGCTTGGCATGAAGACACAACCCCGTCCCAATTGCTTCATTGCACACCTTACCCACATCACAGCATACGGTGTGAAAGTCTTTCCAAAGAGCGTTTGCTTGGGCAGTATACAGTGTACGGACGCGGAGCCGGCGTGTCTTGTGGCAACTTGACACAGCCGCTCTGTCACACATAACAAATATCACGCAAGCGATTTGCTTCCCAGGATTCAACCGCCCCCGGCAAGAACATGGGGCAAGTTCCATCAGCGTCCGCTGTGGTAAATGTTGGTCAGCCTAACAGGACGGAAGAAGAGTGGCCACAGACTTTCGATGAAAACAAGACGCACGTCTTCTCGGATGCGGGCGTTTCCGGGATTTCCCGCATGCTCCACCCTGGCGCCACCCGTTTAAGTCTGGGGAACAGTGGCGTCGCAGGCACCGGGTCGAATTGGTGGGTGGATGCCATGGTGTCGACGCCCCTCTTCCCGCATGGTCGTAGCCCCGCCAGCGTGGGAGAGAGGCAGGCCCGTCACCAGAAACGCGTGAGCAAATTCCGCGTATTCGCGGATGGAGTTGTCTTTGAAGGGCCGGAGGCTATGGCCATTGGGGACACGCACGATCTGTCCAAGGGCTACGAGTGCGTGATGGGGCGGCCTGTGACGCGGGTGACGGTCGGGGACAAACGCGCTCAGCAAGTCTTGGTCGCCTTCGCCGACAACAAATTCTGGGCCGTGCCCTCCCGGCAGGGCTTCTCGCGGCATCTCGGCGTCTCCCTTGTACTGGGGGACAAGACTGCCCGCGGGCCCAAGCATACGCTGCGGGTGGGGGACATTCTGCGTCTGGGCTCTGTGGGTCTCCTCGTCTCAGAAATGCGAACCGAGGCAGATGGGGGCAAAAGCCGCACGGTTTCCCAGGAGGTATTGGAGCAGATTAGGGAGGATGTTCAGACGGCGCCGCGCCAGGTCTTGGCACCTTTACGGAAGGACTTTTTTATGGGAAACAGCGTCCACGAGGAAGAGAGGACGGAAGAGGTAGGGAGGAGAGTGGTGATGGTGGAGGAGGAGGAGGAGGACGAGGAGGAGGAGGGGGGGGTGGACAATGACACGGGGACTGAGCACAGCGTGAGTTCGTCGGGAAGCGCGGGCCACCAGTCCCGGAGCCTAAAGGGGGGACTGGCTGGCCCAGAGGCAGATTCCGGCGAGGGCGGGAACTGCAGGTATCAGTGCTACATTTGCATGGACTCGGAGGAGGAGGACGGGGATGTATTGATCGCTCCCTGTCAGTGCAAGGGCTCGACTGCTTTGGTGCACGTTAAGTGCTTGCAGCGCCTTTTGAGCACGGGGGACGCGGCCAAGCGGACAAGCGTCACTTCTACCAAGCACCAGAACTACACCTGTAAGATTTGCAAGGCGCGCTACAAGACGCACGTCTGCCTGCCCGACGGAACCCTTCTGCCTTTGCTCAACCCGACACTGATGCCCCCCTACCTGACCTTGGTTGTGATCACACGGCATGAGTCGCACCCTGACCTGTTCAACACAATTTTCCAGCTCTCCTTTGCCCGGGCCGCCGAGCTCAGCATGGGTCGTTCTCAGGGTTGCGACGTGGTGATTGGCTACCGGACTGTGTCCACCAGGCACGCCACCATCTCGTACTCAAAGGGAGAATTCTACTACCAGGACGCCCGCTCCTCGAACGGCTCTCTGCTTTACCTGCGGGGGCCGTTAGAGATCCCGACGTCTCGGTCCATCCGCTTGCGCATGGGCCGATCCGTGCTCTCCCTGCGAGGGCGACACGCGCTGCAGCTTTCTTCCTTGCCCCGACGGGCCGCCGCGGACGCCTGGCGCTGGCTTTCTGCCACTATGGGGGGCAGTGGTAATGGGGGGGGAGCTGGTGAGGGAGAGGGTCAAGGCGTGGAAGGGCGGCGGGGCCGGAGGAACGGCGCTGAGGAGGGGACGGAGAGAAGAGGGAATGAAGCTCGAGACCTGGAGGGCAGATTGGGTTTGGAGCTGCTCCGGGATTTGCACATGGGCCGCTTTCAAGCGGCGAGGGCCAGGGATAGCAGCCTCTTGTCGGAGGAACGGGAGGCAGGTCTGGGGGAGGCGGAGCGTGTCGTCTGGCGGTGGGGCTCTTCGGCGGGGATGGGGGACGGAAGCGAGGGGACCATCGGGAGCCGCTCAGGAACCAGCTCTATGAATAGAATGGTAGACAGTCGCAGTGGTGGCGGGGGGGGTGGAGGGAGTCTGCTGCGTTCTAGTCTACAGCAGGTTGATCCACCGCTAGAGGACCAACGGCAGTCGCCAGCCGTTGGAGGCCCCGAGGGCCTGTGGAGGGATAGCACTGAAGATTTCATGAATCCTGGACATACGCTTACGAGAGAAAGGGGGGAGGAGATAGAGTCACCCGCAGCACGTCCGGCAGGTGGAGGAGCACGAGAAAGTACAATACCACAGAGAGCAGCAGCCATTGGAGCCGAGAGTGGGCAAGACCTTGAGCTGTCGTTCTCTTTGCCCCCATGTCAACCTCGCCTTCGTCAGACAGACTTGATATCCGCACCATCGAGGCGAGTGGTTCTCGAAAGAACGCATAGCAGTCGGGTTGAGAGCTGACGAGCCTAATGCTCTTTATCATTTATCTTGTAAATCTTCTGGGATTCCTATCACATGGGAGCGAAACTTTTTGGTCCTGTCCCGACATGACATTTTCTCTTCCACATAGATGATACCAACACTTATGTGTATGTGGTGACCTAGCTCGACACACTGGGTGTGGAAGGTATGTATATGACTTCTGACGCAGCGCCAGAAAGGGGCTTGGACATCTGCGGAATATTATCCAGTACCCGAAGGAGGTTCTGAAGACACTAAAACATATGCGAAGATGTGAAGCATCCATGATGTGGCTTTGACAAAGAAAAATGGTAATTGATAGCATACAATACGACATAATTAGTTCATGGGAGAGTTATGCTTGCTCCTCCTCCACGATCACAGCAGATGCCAAATCCTCAAGAAATCGGACAATTGCCCCTACAAGAACGCGAGTCTGTAAAAGTGCTATAAGTATGAGCCATATGATGAATGTCTTAGCTCACAACAAAACGTTTTGCGTACCTTGTCTAAACTCTTCTCGAGCATTTCGAGCTTCACAGAGGGGCCTTGAGAGGGCGATGAGTGCACCGGCAACATTATATCGTCTGCACGACATTCCAATCGCTTCATCCTGGTCTCTAGGTCTGCGAGACGATTTTCTGAAACTTTCTGATCGTCCACAGCGACAGAGTCAAAAAGCAAATTGCTGTCGATCAAGACGCGAAATTGATCCAGATTGTATTGCATGTGGAGCGACACGGTTTTGTGTCGAAAGTACTTCTGTAGACACACAAGAGCACGCGTACCATCAGATGCAGCAGACGACGAGATGCTTTGCAGACGTGGGTCGATGTTAACATCCTTGGCTTGCTGTTGCGTTAAGTATTCCCGAGAATCCTTATAATTTCGTGATTGTGCCATGTCACGGGCTGGTGAAGATTGCCGCACATGTGATCCATTAGTATGAGCAAGTTGTGTCGCAAGTGCCTGGAACAGATCATGCACTGGGTATCTGCGTAAACATTTCAAGTTTTTATTATTCTGTGAAGGAGACAATATAGTTCTTGCTCGTATTTGTTCGATTAATGCAAATATATTTTGTTCTATTTGCGTCCAATCCAACAAACACTCAGGTGATGGAACAGATGTCTCGGACACAGACGAAGAAGATGCCATGTTCTTGTACTAGAAGCGTGTTGAAGGAGAGTCTGGGAAGTTGTGTACGAACAAATGTCTCGCTGAGTTATTCATTGGCATGGTTCAAAATACAATATGGGCCATAGAATCTCGCCGCTACTAGGCAGCTGACAGGACCGACTGCTCGATGCGCGACCGCGAACGTCAAGCTAGCATTGGCAGCTGTGGCCCATTTTCTTTTTCCGATTCAAGAGGTTGGCATCTTTTCTAATTTCCCTCCCGCGGTCGCTGGCTCTGACCGGAAAGGTGTGTTGTGCGTAGAGATTTCACCGTAATGCACTTGTTGTGACTCACTTCCCAGCGACGCCAAGGCCGACGAACCGGAGGGGCACTTTCATGTGAAAAATATGTTGTCTTTTCTCTTGTGACCAAGTTCATCGTTGACAAGTTGTTCAAAAGCACGGATAGGAGAGTTTTATTAATGCTTATCTATCCTCACATCAAAATCGTCGTTGCAAGAAGATAAAACATGCACGTCGTTACGTCAGGTACTGCTTTCTTTTCGCGGGCTATAGTCCTGCTGCACGTTCTTCACTCGCCTTGCGCCTGGGATGGGCTTCAAAGAAACGACATTGCGATGGGTAAAAGAATACAATATGCGCAACAAGTAGAGACTTTTTAAAGGGCTTGATTCGTTTTGAACAATCTCTCAGTCTCAACATTGTCCTTTAATATTTGTGCTTCACGTTGGCTTGCCAGGAGTCTGCAGCTGCCTTCCTTGGCGATCCACCTATACATGACTATACAGACGATTGCGGGCATTCGTGTCCGAGATTTCTGCGGCGTATCGTCAATGGCTACCAGGAGACGGGCTCCTTTCCCAGCACCTCTCGTATCAACACCGTGGCAAAGCTCCGTTAGGGCTAAAGCTACCGCGGGCTAATGGGACATGATAGACGGTAAGTTGTTTGGTTACCGCTTCGACGCTTTGATCCCAGCCATCATTTTTGATCCCAGTGGTGTAATACGAACACGACATGGCAACAACTTAAGTGTGCAGGTCAAGCCCTTCTCTATAACGTAGCTGTTCATAAATTCATATAGAAATGAGCAGATTTATTAAATTATCAGATCTGATGCGTGAAAATCGGCCCGTATGGCTTCAACCATAACCGGATGGCGTGCGGGGCTCTCTTTGTTTGGTCACTGAAGAAGAATCCGTTCACAAACATTCGCCATTCGGCATAGCCACTTGTCTAACCCTAAGTATGTGCTCTTGTCGTGCAACGCAAAGCAATATCTTTTTGACTTATACACGCTGTTTCGTCGTGAATAACACACATAATTAAGATGCTCACTAATAAGCGATGATAGAGGGTGGTTAGACGAAACCTATACTGCCATTTCCCCCTTACAAACAGTCGTTAACCCATTTACCTGAAGAAACAACGACATAAACGCAAAGTTTAAGCCAATGCTTATCCTTTTCTTCCCTGTTTTCGAACGATTTTTTTTGATGCTTTTTTCCGCTTTAAAAACAGCCCAACGATTTATCAGGGGTTCCGATTATGTGAAGGCCCAGGCCCATTTTAGCTTTTTATTTACAGGAGGCCTTTTACGGGCGGGCAGGTATTTGTGTTGCGCGACTACGACAAATCGTCAAAAAACAAGTTTGCTTATTACCCAAAAAAGGGAAGGAGAGATCTTCTTGGATTTCTACTTAAGAGCACGTCGCCGCTGATCGCATCTCTCACTCTTTTTCTAGTTGACGTAAAGTGTGACAGTATGTTAGGACTTCAGCTTGATGGTGCATACATTATACAGGGACTTTCTAAAGTGCCGTCCGGGCTCTTGATTGCGTGCGCTGCGAATCGGTGGAGGAGGGTGGGAGTGGTCGGCGGCGTCATCGAGGGTAGTTTCTTGTCTATAGGTACATCCACGGGTGTGATTTGGCCCACCTTCTTCTCTGGTATACTATCGTCGGTAAAATATTTGATCGGATCCCGTGGCCGAAAAAAGAAGAATATCAAAGCGCCTCCGATAGGAACACAAAGAATGACTGCGGCCCAGAAAAGTCGCGACCCAGGTTGGGATCTCACCCGTTTTAGAGTGTATAATGCGCACCCATTCACAGCCAAAATAAAGGCTACTATCATAGCAACATCCATCCTAAGCGCTTTCTCATCCGAGAAGAGCATTCTCTCTTGATTTATAGCCCTGTTTGAGGAGGAAATGCACGACGTCAAATTGTAATTCTATTTTTTTTCCCCTCACCAAAAAGCCAACACTCATCGAAAGGCATGAGTGATTTTTACTAGGTGGGTTTTAAAAATGAAAAGCAGGCAGTGGATCGCAGCAGCACATTTGTCTCCTTAAACATTTGCGGTGATATTTGAAACACCCCGTTGCATATTTAAGACATAAAATCCGCTTTTGATCTCATTCGAGGGTGAGGGATTTAACATGTACAAATGAGATATGCAGTGAATATGTGGGTTCTCTTCTAGTGTCTTCCACGACGTCCATTGAAACCAATTTTAAGCGTCATGAGGAGGCGACTTTCTCTCGAGCGTTGTACATTGTGCATAGAAAATGGATGAAATCATGCACCGGTCATACCATGTAAGCGGAGACGTGTGACACTCGTAGCCCTCTCCTCCATGCGCATCCTTTTGGCGCTGCCAGCTTTTGAATGTTTGAATGTCCGTTGAATCGTTAAGGGTGGGGTGAGGTCCTCACCGTGAGGATGCTCGAGGTTTGGCGCGAAAAACCGAGAATGACAACGCGAAGGTCCAGGAATTGCATTCACCGGTTTAAAATAGGTAAGCAATATAGATTTACAATCATTGTTTTAAGTGCCTTAATATAGCACAAATCTATACGGCTGCGGTGCTAAACACAACGATTACACGGCCCTGCATCTTCATTTAGTCCCGATACAAAGCTTTCCCTTCATAACTGGGACGAAAGTTACATATGCAATTGGAGCCCGATTCGGGACAGAGCCTTTTCAAAATACAAATTTAGGCAGAAATGTAAAATATAGGAATACTCAAGTACAGAGGACTGAGGGATACGCGAAAATTGCGGGGGGCAAACAAAGGTGAAAGAGCGGGAAAAGGCTGGCATGAATTATGCCATCGCCGAAGAAAACGACTTCCTGGGTCCCAAGCGCAAACAAGCACCAAAAGACAAAATGATGTTCCATAAAACAACAGAGCAGAGCGATTGTCTAAACTCTTTTCGTTTGATAACGGAGACCACATGCGCAAACCTCGCAATGGCCAGTTCTCATGTATTTCTCCGCCTGAGCGGTATCCGCGTGAACCTCAGCCGGATGCCACGAGTCGTAATTTTATCGCTACGACACATTACTTAGCCTCTTACCATATATCACACGAAAAGTTGAAAGATGAAGACTTACAGAAGTCGCAAAGACTGGGGTCGGTCTCAATTATCGCCGCAGCAACACGGCAAGGATGAGGGGATGGCGGTGTCGTAAGTCGATTCATTT